TAGGTAGAGTTTCAAACCCAATTCTTCTTTCTGATATCGGGGTTGTTGAAACCTCCGTATCGGACTTCTGGTGGGTTTTCACGCACCGGAGAAACCGGTGCCGAAATCTATATCAGTCAGAGTCACCAAACAAGTGGCGAAATCTGCGGTATATGGATGAACCATACCAGCTGGCCATTAAGCTGAATGGCTAGGGTGCCAGCCGGTGGTGCATACCTGCATAGAGTCGCGTTAACCGGATCGGATAATCAGGCAGCGCAAAATGGATAAAATTCCATAAATCAGAATTGGGCTAGGTTCGCAATTAATGGCGACGCGTGATCCCTGATCGGATTTAATAGGCAGCATATACGGTATCGAAGATTGTTCAACTTTCCAGGCCACGGGAAAGGGACTGAATGAATGAAGTTGACGATGTAACTGAGAGGGAACAGTGCTAAAGAGCTTGACATTTTCATCCAACGGTGCAATAAATCTCAAGGTTTGAACCCGCTGAGGTGTGACATAGAGCGTGCAGAAAAATTTGACATCACGGAAAATGTGCTGTAAGATTTAAGTAAACCGAGCCCGCCCAGCCTGCTAAATAACTCAACGTGACCGGTATGTGAACAGAGCTTCAACAGCTGATATAAAATTATCCTAAATGTACATAAGCATCAAAAAGTATATGCGAGGGTTCACAGGGTGTCGTCACTGAGAGCAAATCACCTCGGAGATGTGGCTGGATCCTTTTGAATTCTGAGAACAAAACGGCATGTGGAGTCCTGTAAGATGAACTTTGCGACTGATGGCCAAATGGCCCCTATTTGTATGCATGAACTCACCAGTTACACTGAATTGAGGTTTATTTCAAGGAACATACTAGTAGGAGAAAACGGACTATCCACAGATTTGGAAGCATTTTCATTTCACTTTTCGAAGAGCCTAAAAATTTAAAAGCTTAGGCGTTTATTTTGATTTGGACAACGCCCAACGTTGCAGTTCACCTAACTTGGATATCAGAACTAAGAGAGGATATGGTTGTTTATTGGGACCTTTTGGCCAGCGAAACACCAAGAATTGTGTTAAAACGGCGACATCTGGTCTAAATAGGGCCAAAACAACAAGGGATATGACGCCAGTGAACAAGTGAAAGAAAAGTTTGGCCGGGCGAAACCACACAGGAGACCCATAATCCCAAGCTGCACATGTCTTTACTTGACGTAACTTCATAACTCCATTTCGGACCAGTTATCAAGTAGTCAGTCTGGTAATATAAACGGGGAAATTATTGAATTCCCAAGAATTCAGTCCAGTTGCATCTCCCTGGCCCGCCGCAACCCGGTTAAACTGACTTTCCATGATATCCAGCTAAATAACAGCGGGTTTGGTGCTAATCACCCCATTGTCAGATCAGCTTGGGTTTATGACAAATATGCACACGTTATACCCCAGAGGACTTATGCGCGCTAATTTATCGTGAACTGTGTACCTTCTCTGAAGACAAGTCCGAAGATGGAAAAAATCACTTTGGGAAAAGTAATGCTGACCAGGGAATCTCAGACGGCGTATAAGACCACTACAAATATGAGTTATTCTTGTTTCCCTAGCTGTGGTTACACGAGGAACTGGGTGTCTGGTTTCTAATGACTACACATTTTCGCCGCCTTTAGTGCTTTACTTCAGAGCAAATAATTGGCTGAGCGACTTGTTTCTCGGAAAGTTAAGTACCTGAGACATCTGGTGCACGACTACAGAACGAAATACTTTACTCAGACATCCAAATGGAAAGGAAACCGATAAGTTATTTGTTTAAATAAATAGAGTGGTAATTGTTCTTTAACCCTTAGTTGGCGATTGATCATAACTAATCTACATGGTCACGTGTCTGGCCATAACTACCCTTCTGATATTTCATTTTTCTCCAGCCATTCCTTTTATATATTCTTAGGACTAATGAACTTTATATGAAGGGCGACCAAAATGTTCGAACTGAACCATTAGGTGACGGTCGGTTACACTGGTTTACTTAAATTTCTCGGGGAAGAATCTGATTCACAGCCGGAGCACCATTTAGGTACCCCACATCTGCCTAGATGATGTGAGCTTTTTCATCAGAAGTTTGTTTTGGGATAACACAAATGAAGCCAAGTTGAATGCCTGCGAAGTAACATATTTGGGCCACTCATTGCCTGAAACTCTTCTGCTACCATCCTGCTTGTATTCTCTAGAATTCCCGGTTCATAGTTGTTACTCGGTCGGTTCACCAAAAGTTCCTGGCAATGAGCTCGCCCCACGATTTATCATTTTTCTTTTTAACAGAACCCGAGTATTTCGATATTCAGTGGCACGTTGCTAACTTTCCGCCTCATAATACTTTACACGAGAAACGGTTGGAACCACCAAAATTTTATCCGACGATCCGAAAGATTCGTGTAATAGCACTGGAATCCGAGAGCGAATTTTTAGGTGATTCAATCAGCATATTGGAATTCAAAGGAAACCGATGCGGAACCCATAAATAATCAGATTTACACTAAACAAAAAATGAGTTTTTTTAAGTCTTTTGTCAACTCTTAAAGTTTGAAGGATCTATGAAAGCACAAAATCATGTTAGGACCTGATGCATGAATCGATACATAAATAACTAACCACCCTTTCAAAATAATCCAATGTGAGAATGGCACCAACGCCACAAGCTCCAAGAATGAAGAATGGCTTCCCCTTTTCTTGGTCCATGCCAAGAACTACCAATGACAGTGAGAGAACTAGACTTTAAACTAATCGTTAAGCAATTGCAGTTACGAATCATTATGTCTATACATCAGAAAGTGTTCAAAGTATTCAGATCACCAGTTCCTTAACTGTATTTAGAAGGCGGGCTTCAGAAATCCCAGTCCCAATGTCGCTTCTTGATTTTTCAGTATACGACTTTAGCCAACAAATGAGATGACCACCATCCAACCTTAAAACCCATATGTACACGTAACTTACCCCGACAGTCCCTTCCGCTTACCATAATCTTATTTTGCAATGTGAATTACTGGCATACTTATAAGTGCAAAAAATGTGTAGAGCAAATATCCCAGCAAATCATGTGGTCAAACTGTTTATGACAGACTGCCAGTCATGTATTTGCCAAAAAGAGACTCTGACTGGTCCCACTGTCTAGAGATGAACCACTGTATCTCAGTCAAACTGCAATTCGCTATCGCCTGCTAATGAGGATATAGTAGGAAGGGACATAAGTTTGGACATTTACGTTGGACGTAAATGCCTGCACCACTAACTTATTGGCACTTATAGATAACTGGAACTCGTGGGTAGATAAACAAACGTGCGTGAAAAATGGTGAACAAAGGAAAATCCCTCCAGAACAGGGAGGCTGTTTCGTCTGTTCAAGTGCGAATATTTCTTTGAATTGAAAACCAGTCCTAATCGGAGGTGGTCTAGGATTTTGTGAAGATGGGTGTGGTAGAGAAAGGAAAAAGGGTGACTGTTTTGATTGACTGGTACACTGCAGAGCACTGACATGCAACAAGTGCGTTTCAGTATAAGGCGAAAAGTATTTGTAATTACTATGAAATTAATAAACTTTGTAAACGTTTCTCTGTCCAGCTTTGTGAAAGATCTTCACAAAGATATCTTGTACAATGACTTGAATAATGTAATTATAATGTCAAGTCGAGTCAATCTCTGACGAGATATGGATGTTGCGAGGTAATGTGGTAACTCTTGACATATCCTCTGTGGTGTGAACACGAACCGGTGAATTTTGCTTCAAAATACACTTCCACTCTTCTAATTTTTTATCGTAATTAGTTAATCGGGAGTTCCGAACTGGAAAGTTTGCTATCCAGGATGTTTGAATGAGAAAACATTAGGCTGTTTGAACTTCGTCACTTTAATTCACTACTTAATAATCCTGTTTTGAAGCACTGGATTCTTTTTATTTAATCGAATACAACACAGTTATAAGTCGAGAAACTTAGGATGTAAATATCTTATTTGCATTCGTCAATGGGAGCTGAAAAATAAACAGTTTGCATACAACGAGGCACTTAAAAACAACAGTGCGCAAACGGCTAAGTATCTACACATGACATTCGGGGGAAATACATAGGTCAGTTCGGGCACAAAAGATATGTATATACATATCGGCACTGCTTCGTTGAAAAAGGGTAAATGAGGACTACGATATCGTATGTGAACGACTTTCTTGGGTCGAAATTTGATCATTGCTCCGAAGCTCTTCGAAGTCGAGGATGCCGGTTTGTCAATTTCTTTCTTAGCTGTTGTGGTGTTACATTTAATCGTTCTACTCATTAAAGTGTATCGTTTAATGCCACCCTTTTGACGAGGAAACCAGTAGGAAACCAAGTCGATTCAGTTTCAGCTCATCAGCTATAAACTGTGTACCATAGACGTATTGGTTCCGATCACCCACGGGAAAGTGTGGAGCATATAACCAAGCCCTGGATGCGACGGCACGTTCAGTTTATTCGGAAATTGGGTAGCTACGCATTGAAGGCAGTAACTCTGAGACAGGCGGTAGTTCACTCGACGAAGTTTGCTCGTTAGTGTTTTCATACTTCGTTGCCACGTCATGCATTGTTGACCTCTCGAGAGCTTCCACTTAGCACATAGCTACGCGAAAAGAGTTCTGCGAGTTAGACGGTCTTCTGGCATGCATTGCACATGTCCTAACCAACCTAACTTACGAAGCGCGAGTAATTCATCTATCGCGGGAGAGTTCATTCTTCAAAAGACCATCTAGCATACCTCAGCATTGCTAATCCAGTTTTAGTTTCGCACCAAACCCGAACAATGCTAAAGGGACACCAACGGTCAAGCACTGATATCTTCAGTATGTCCACTGCGCGTAGAGGCAGCGTCCCTGGTCTATAAAGCGGTATGTATCGCATCAACACAGTGTAAGCCCTGCCAATGACAGACGAACTCACGTTATGTCGGCGCCATAGGTGTCGAATGTTGGCAAAAGCCGCCTTGGCCGTCCCGATTTAAGAAGTATTCTCATCTCCAGTCAGTCCACCGGAGCCCGTAAAACTGCCCAGGCAAACAAATGTATGTACTACGTCCATTGGCTCGCTTGTGATCGTGAGGTTTGGGTTTGATTCAACCCAATCATGTAACATCACTTCACGCTTTTCGGGCGTGAAGCGCATGCCAAACCGTAAAACAGAGTTATTTGGGTTATTTAAAATCCTCTGCATTTTTGGAGGATCTGAACCAAGGAGAGCAATATCGTCTGCACACTCAATATCTGTAAGCAAATGCCCATGGAGCATTTCGACTTCCGATGTTTCAGAGGCAAACAGAAAAGTTTCAAGCAGCATATCAATAAAAAAGTTGAAGACGAAATGTGAGATAGGGTAACCTTTTCCTACATCGCTGGACATGGTGGACTCAGGTGAAAGCTTGTCATGTATTCGTGCGCGCGCACAGGAGTTCACATACAGTGCCCTCATAAAGCATATTAATTTGTAGGGGGCACGTTCGATCACCAAACACCAAAATGTGTTCCAGGAAGTCTGCTAACCAAAAAGAATACTTCAGAAAAAAGGTTGCAAAATGTTCAAATACCACCGCACAGTTTATTGGCATGTGAGCAAAAGAGTCTGAACGCCGGTATGATGGTCAGTACTTACACCTCTCTGTCTGGATGGTTGCTAAACCAGGGTTTTCAAGTGGTTGCACTGATACCAGGTATATGATTATGCAGGGATAATATCTGTAGTTTGTCTGAAGTCACCTTTTTTTGGCTGAAATACGGTTTGAATTTCGGCTTATTGGATAAGATCCTAATCATGGATGCACCATGACTAATACAAGTTGTTACTTTTCTGTAAACTATTGGTGGGAAAGTTAATGATGATATCTTTAGAGCTGTACCCTATAATCACTGCGTACATCCCGCTCTGCTCAAGAAAAAATTATAGTTACTCCTAACTTTCTGAGCCTCCTCCTGAGTGAATAGAGTGAGAGCCTAGTTCTGGATATCCTGCTCAACGGCTTCCCGAATGGGTCAGTTAGTCACAGAGTAAACCAAGAATCAATTCTGAGTGGACGGTGCCACCACTCAGTCAATTTTGCATGAGTTGCATACAAGATCGTTTTTGTAAGAACTCTAGTTCACCGAGTACGTAAACTATGCGGCGCAGAAAATTTTGTAAATGAACAACATCCTAACAAGGTTGACCCAATCGTCAACGGGCATCTAATTCCAAACTCTAGGACCTCCTTCAACTACAGTAGAGGAAAAGAAAATTGTTTCCGATACTGACCTTCTACAAGGCGGTGCTGATAAAAATGCTCACCCATCTTGTGTACACAAAAAAGTTACATCATTCTTTCAACCCCCGCCAAAGTTCATGTGCAGATATTTTGTTGTTCATGAGCTTTTCTCTAAGCCAGATGAAAATAAATGATTCATTTTTTTACCAAGACCTCTTGGCGAACTGGTCGACACAGTCTGAAAAATGATATGGTTTTATTATTTTCTGATGACATTTCTAGTAACGAGTTTTCTGTAAGGTATATGATCTTTTCAACTCAGTAAGTGACGGGATAGCTATTCCGGAGAGCGCCTCCAGTGATTTTCACTTTAAACGAACGATTTTGTCTTAAATCACTGAGTTTGGCTCCCAGAAGGATGAGGATTCAAAATGACCGAAGATTAATTATTGATTATTCCACTCCACATTGTAAACCGATCGCCATGACTACCAACGCCGCTACTAGCGTTACGGAAATTGTTCGTTCATAACCATGTTTATCAACGAATCTAGTGCAGTGTGTTTATCTGCGTTTCGTACCCAGTTTCCACACAGTCTTGGCGCCAGAATACAAAAGACCAGTAAATAAGTTCAATAGCTCGATTTTCTTCTCTAGACATACAAGAACAGAAAGTGTTGCAGCTTAATTATATTGCAGGTATCTGAAAGAATGGATCTTGGAACGCAGGAACTTTCGTCGCAAATAACTCGGAGTTGTGCAGAGAAAGCACATATTTTCCGAGTGCTTTGTGTTAATTTTTCATTTTAGCATACAAAACCTACAAACTCACAACGGCTGGCTCTTTTAACTATTGAAAGATCTAGATTTGTCCATAGAAATGCATGGCAATATCATACCGGCTGAACCACTAACTTCTCAAGCTATTTCGGGTGACGTTCGTCTAAACATGAAGCATCACATGAACCCCATTTAGTAAAAAAATTGCAGCAAGAAGGCCCAGTTTGTTTTCGTTCATTATTACTTCGCGTTCGTTCCTTCAGCTACAAAGCATACTGATGTCTTAGGTCGATATTCCAACGCGAAGCCAAAGTTGTTTCAAGATAAAAAAGGTTGGTCACAATGAACCTCGTGGTGCTGAAAATTCCAAAACACGCGGCCTGAAAGAACGTGTATCTCCTAAGACGTTCAAATGGAACGTTGATATGTAATAATTTCCTTTTCAAAGCCTCTTGGATTTACTCCAAGACACCATGAGGCCCTCATATGAATTCAAAAAAGTACAAACTTTCGTGACAGTTGACACCACCAAGTTCATGCAGAACAACAACTAGTTCCTTAACAGTCCCGGAGTATATCACAATATTATTAAGGCAAGGTAAACGTAAATGAACAAGACGAAGATCGGGTGCTTCCATCTGTGACTAGAAATTTAACGATTAAGAGATTAGGATTCATCGTCTTCATTACCTAGTTCCATCTACCCCTGTCTTATAGTGTCTCCGCCGGATATTCAGCCCGATAAAATTACACCAGTATAACTGAAGGACAACGATTCACTCTAGTTTCAGGATCTGAGTGACTTGTTTCGGCTCACTTGAATATTTATTCAAAAAGTTACCCACACTTGCTCCAAACAAAGTTGTAGATGGCTTACATTGAGACGCTTAAATATCGTTAATTGGACCTCACTAAGAGGGATTCATGCAAAGGTGTTTCTGAATTAATCATGCCTTTGCACCGCGTCAAACGTCTGACTAGAGTCAAGTATTTTACCAGCCAGCAATAGGCGCTTTTTCAAACGGAACTCTGAATTTATTAAGATGCACCTCTCTAGTGGCTAAAGCATCTGATTTACAAATTAAACTGATGCTAACTGAAGATTCAGATGAATCCCTCATCTGGGAAGGTATCTTATTTTCCTGTGGGATTCCAAACCTACGTCGCGAAAGTACAAAGTATACAAATAAGCATCAGCTCAGTACTGCTCACGAAAGTGCAACTTGAACCAATGTAAACTCTTCAATTTTCTCCAAAAAATTTGATTTTTGTGGCCTCTGTATCACATAGAGGGTTAATTAGGAGCATAGGCTTGAAAAAATAATGCTTACCAAAACAGCACATAAAACATGTCAGCCAAAGGTTGAGAAATGTGCCATGCATTCTCAGTAGCCACCTTCTAATGGAATATTTTTTTTAAATTCTTAATCAATGCAGTTAAGGGAGCCGAAGAGAACAGACTGCGATATGGTTACGTGAAATGAAATCAACTACTGTCAGCCGGGATTCACAGTAGCTTTGACCCTCCCTTGCTAGGATCCAAGTTATTCTTTTTGTACGACACTAGAAACCCCAAGAGACGTTGAATTCAACCGATTCAAATAGCGACCTTCCGCCACTTCAATATCAGACTGTTTATTCACACAATTTGTTGACCTATGCTGGTTCGTTTTGGGAAGCGTTCTCGTTGAAAACTGTGTCGATGGTGACTTAATTACACATCTCCCCCATAAGTTTTTCATTGCTGTATAAAGTTGTAGGTATACTTCTGTTGATGGAACACCCTGTTGGGAAGGTTGACAAAATTCTTTGAAAGCTGTAAAACTCAGCTGAGATACAACTGAGTTCCCTGTTAACATCAACTCAATTTGCGAGAGGGTGTATTTTACCCGTCTCCTAAAGTGTAGGTTATTGCGCACTATAACCTCACCTTTTAAAATTTCCTTCATTGCTAGAGCCTTTTAGCAATGGTTTTGTTGCAGTTTAGCACAACTGTTGGCTACTAGTGGACAGCTGTCTTTTGTGAGAACTATTGAGGTAACTGTCATATCCATGTTTATTCAACCACTGTTTTTCGGTCGAAACAGCCACGTGTTATAGAACTTATTTAATATCTTTGGCTCATTGTGTCGTGACTAACGGTTTACGTAGAGTAATGTATTTGGTATGATTTTCGATTTTTCACAAAGTCGGAAATAGAAGCCCGGTGAAGTAGGGTTCTTTTCGTGAATTTAGAAGAGTTAATTGAAATTCCAATCACCAGTTTCTTGGTTTAAAAGCGGTCGTAATAATCGTTTACAGTCAAGCTATGCCCCATTTACTTCAGCTCTTTCGAAATATTACTCGCTCATTGTATCACGCAAAACTGTGGGATGTCTCTTGTGTCCAGGATGAATAATTTCTTCAAATGTTTTTTATTCGGATGAGATCTCTATAATGACTTTGCCCTAAGCCAAAGTGAGCGCACCACTCTAATATATGTTATTGGATATCCGAAAACGTTCTCACGTGGAGGACATAAAAAGTGATTCAAGTTTATAGTTCATCAACAGTGACATATTGATTGCCAGCCGTGCCCCCTTTTGTCAATTGTCGGGAGAAGGAGAAAGATTGACCTTCATATTGCGCTTGAGTATTGTGATCCACAGCTAATGCTTAACAAACTGATAATCGGTATTTTTTACTGACCTTACTGTCGTTCCGAAGCGCATTATATATGGAATCAGTATACCCAACCCAGCTGTCAACCCATTAGCTTGTACGAAGTAGGTCCGATGGCTCTTGGACATTCTAACCTAAAAAAACAATCAATTGCCATTCCAAACTACATCTGATTAATCTCAAGTAGGAAGGATTGATCACCGCTGAAGTTTAGTGTGGCCGAAAATTCTTAACTTCCTTTGAGGGGTTCAGCACTTTGTATTTCGCCCAATCCTAAAAATTTCAGTTGAAGAGAGACCTCAACAAAAATTGAATATTTTCAAGCATGGTTGAACAGTCATGTTTATTGAGGCTAATCCTTATTGTAAAGTCTGGTTGTCAACTGGTTTTCCTAGCTTTGCAAGTGGATTGTGGACGTTTCATCACTAATCGATGATGCATGGTCGGTGCAGCCCAGTACAGCTACCCACAATTTACAACATTCCGAGCACCGCGCAACTGTTTAGTCCTCTCATTTAAATCAATCACAGTGCATTTACTGGACACCGCTGCTGTTGCTTTTGGGCACTTGTTGGAAGTAATATTTCACAGATCAGTCTTAGCAAATATTAAATGCAAATTCTTCTGGAGGGCGAAGTGAGCTGGGTGCTCCTTCGACTGATAATCAACTTCACAACAACTAATGCGCACCCTCCATAAATAAGTCACTCATATCTTAGACCATTAAGGGAAATAAATTTGAGCCCACGCAATAAAATTTAATGCAGCGCTACGTCTCCTAAGTAAACTCTGCGGAGGAACTTATTCTTCCACGGATAACTTTTCACCTGACAGATAATTCCGGCAGTCTTGCATA